TCCCCTCCCCCATCTCTCTCTGTCTCTTCTCTCATCCTAAATCCAAAAGTAGCTTCAGGACCTGAGTCCATACTTTTATGGTTCTATTTCTGCAGTGCACATCTTGGGCTTGCTTAATCATTTATTTTTGCTTTTCCTCTATGTATAAATGCAGCATATGTAATAAAACAACTATTCATCAGAAAGATATTCAGGACACAGAGGGTTGCATTTTTAGAGCATTGGAACAATAGGTGCAGCTGCAGAAAATTACAGGTATGGCAGTGTTCTTTCTCCATACTCTGAGTTCCATGCACGGGTGAGCATGTGCACATGTGGCTGGATCCTCTTTTGGCCAAATACATCCTGAATATTGACACAGGTGAGGCACCCTCAATAATCCCTGCTCAAATGGTACAGGCCTATTCTCTAAAAAAAGACACTTATCCAAAAAAGGAACATGGTACAGACAGACACACTCAGACTAAGAAGGGGACTGTGGCTCAGCACTGAAATGGAAAACAAATGCCCTTTCCAGCCTTTATTTCTCTTTGTCTGGATTCTTCCAGGATGCTGAGTATCCTAGGCCATGGGCTGTCCACAGGGGCCACACCCAGGAGGGGAGGGCCGCAGGAGGGATGCTGATGGGAAAACCATTCACAGAGACACAGAAGGCTAATGACCACTGCCAGACGGCTGCAGGGTGGGGCAACTGGAGGGCAACATTGAAGCTGGAGGACATAAGGGAGCTGGAGTTGCAGGGCCCAGTCCAGAATCCTTAGGGGTACAAAGCTTGTTCCTCTATTCTTCATATATGTGACAGGATGGGCAGAGAGGATGCCAGCAGTGGGAGGGCGGTATATCTGGAGGCTGTGGACAAAAGGGGAGAGGCTTTGCAGGTCTGGTCTGAGAACATCCCACCTTTTTGATCACCCATCTCCTACCTCTTGTTGGCCTACATTGCATTGACTTGTGACTATTCCTCAATATCTGATGAGCGGCCATCTCCAGCTCAGCTCACCTGGATGAGTCAGGGACAATGGAGTTTGAAACCTTACTCACTCTGACTTAATCACCAAAGTTAACCACCATCCTGAGAGAGGTGAGGTACCGTAGCATGTTTCAGGAGCAGTTTTGTAGAAGGACTATGTCGAGGGCTGTCTCTGAAAAGAGAGAACTTGTTGTCTGAATTTCCCACCTCCAGCTCCTTCTCTGTGGCTGAGAGAGCAATTAGGCTCATTTTCACTTTTCTTTTTTTAACCTAGGAGCAATGTGTCCTCTGCATTGTTGAGGAGACTGGATAAATGAGACAGATAGATGGGGGCAGGTGTGAGGAGGCGACAGAGTTGGCCGCCGAGGTACCTTTGTGATCCATCTCTGCAGAAGCCGGCGTTCGTTCCGTGGGGATTCAGCAAGACTGATACCCAGCAGTGACAGTTTGGACATCTAAACATGACCTTGGATGTGCTCAGAACCGCAGCTGGAACTGTGCCAACTTTTCAGAGTAGTCTATCACAGTGGCCGCAAAACCATGCTGGAAATTGGCTGCGTTCTGAGCGGTGGTGCATCTGCAGACGAACCACTCTGGCCCTGTAGTGCGGTGCAGTGTTGGGGGATGGCTTCCATTTCTGTCAATTTTCAATAATTAGATGCTCACAAGGAAGCCCAGGACAGTCCTCTTGTATTCATTGGGAGGTTGTGAGATCCCCATTGTGGGCATCGAAAATAATTATTCAAGCGGTTTAGTGTTTGTCAGTCAGCGTTTCCTGCACTGTGGCCACTCACCTGGTACTTGTCAGATTTCAGCTCCTGGGGAGGAAAAAAAAGGACTTTGCTTCTGGTTCCCCAGAACATACAGGTTATGGGAAAGTTCTATCCTGTACAGTGTTGGAAAACTGTTTCATACCAGGGTGCTTTCCTAGTGCCTGTTCACTCTGCAACTCGCATTTTGCCAGGAAACACACATCTAAGTTAGAGGTTCTCAGCGAGCTCTTCGGACCAGCATCAGCAGCACTTGGAATTTTGTCAGAAATGCAGCCTCCCAGGCCCTGCCTGGGCCTACTGAATCAGAAACCCATGGAGTAAGGTCCCAGGAATCTCTTTTTAATCAGATCTTTCAGGCGATACTGATGCATGGTGAATTTGAGAAGAACTGATTTGGGTGTTCTTTTGGGAGGCCCTATAAGAACACTAAATTTGGAAAACAAAACAAAACAAAAACTGGCATGAATCCTGGTTCTGCAGTTTAATATCAGCATGGTTTCAGTCAATATGGTTAATGTTTCTCAGCCTCAGCTAATTTTGTCTGTAAACTGGCAATAAGTGAACCCAACCAAGTTTGTGAGATGATAAAATAGTGCATATAATGGGCTCATGTAGTCAATTAACATTGACCGTGAACGTGAATTCATCCAGTTTTGTGCTTGGACCCAAGTGAAGGTCAGAGCAGTGGTCACCCTTCAGGTTATTAATATAAGCTATCCTAGATACATTACTAGCAAAGCAAGCTGCAAAGTGTGTTTTTGTTCTTGAGAGATTTCAAACCTATGCCGTTCCAAATTCGTGTTTCAGACAAGGCAGTACCAGATAACAGTCATGGGGTCTGCAAGGAGCATAAGGGAAGGAAGGTACAACATCAGGTGCACCCTCCATTGACTGCACTTTTCTCCTTCTTGTTCACCCTCAGAGTCCATTCTGGATATTCTCATCAAAGCCACAAGAAAGGCTTGGAGCATACTCTTGACCAGCTCAAACTTCATGTGCATTCAAGTTACCTGGACATCTTATTAAAATGCAGATTCAAATTTGTTATCTCTGAGAGGAGGCCTGAGATTCTGCATTTCTGACGAGCTCCCACCCAAATGATGCCGATGTTGCTGGTTTGCTAGCCACACTTTTGTGTAGTGTGGTGCTAGCTCAGTGCTTCTTAAACCCTAATGTGCATAAAGCTCATGTCTAGATATGAACTTCTAGATGCGACTTAAGGAATGACCGGGGGCCATCAGCACTGGCATCACCTGGGAGCTTACTAAAAGTGCAGAATCCCAGACCCTACCTCAGACCTACTGAATCAGCATCTGCACTTCAGCAAAATCCCCAGGGGGCCTAATGTGCACAGTAAAGCTTGAGAAACATGCGGAGCTGGCTTCACAACTTTGTTTATTTCCATAGAAATCTGTTATCACCACCTTGAAATCCTTATTCATGCTTGAACAAAATACTCTGTGTTCTTATTTTGCACTGGGCCCCACAAATGATATAAATTGTCCTAGACACACTGCTCCATATTAGTGGTTTTGAAACATTAGTGTGTGTATGACCCAACTGAGATGTTGTTATAAATTCCCAGATTTTCTGAATCAGTAGAATGAGGGGAGACTAAGAATCTGTAATAAACCTCTCCTGTGATTCTAATATAAGTGGGCCATGTGCACTTTGAGAGAGAGTCCCCTGACCTTCTCCAAGGTAGGCCTTCACTCATTTCCAAGCTGTATCAGAATGGTGCCAGCGAGAGCCCGCATCTCATCTGCATTGCCAGAAAATGCGATAAGCTGCAAAAACCTTGTTGGACACCTATGCCAAGGTGTTTCTTTTTGGGCAGTATTTCCCACCAGAGCTCTCAGCAAACTATCCATCTACACCTAAGTGATCGTTCCATAATGTTGAGACATTTACATAAGCAAAGCAGAAAGGATGCACAGTACAGGATTTCTCATGGGGACAGGGGTCTCCTGAAGAAGCAGGTGTGTACAATAGCAGTTGTTAGAGTTTTTATGGTCACAAACCATTTTGAGAATCCAATAGAAGCCATCACCTATCCCCAGTGAAAAATTCACCTTTGCACCTTATGAGTCTCACACAGGACCAGGAATTAGAAGACTTGGCTGAGAGGTCTGACTTCTATACTTTTAGCCTCATTCCTTGGACAAGTCATCAGGCTATTCAGAACCCTAGAGTCATGATCTTTAAAGCAGAGAATGGGTAACAGTGTCAACCTCAGAAATTTGTTGCAAAAAATCAAAGGAGACGTTGAGCTGTAAAAGTGCTTTGTACACTGCAAAATAAGGTATACATTTGAGGCATCATTATACACCCTCCGTTGCACTGTTATTTCCAGCATTATAGTCAGGATCAGGACACTGTGTTTGTAAATTTAGCCTAAGGCCATGGAACAGACTTGCTGTAGTAAGAGAGGGAAATGAATACAGACAGAAAGACATGATGAGGACTTGGCGAGAGTTGCTGGGAAATTTAAAAGTGTAGAAAAGAGAAGGGAGCTTCCACAATTCGAGGACTCCAGATGCAAAAATAAAAGAAAGAAAATCTATTTTTATATGTGCAGACAGTTTTGAGATTTTGGAAAGTGGCTTTAGTCTAGCAGTAACCGAACATTTCTGCCCCTGGGTATAATGAAGATGAATAGCGATAGTGGTGATCTGTATTTAGTTTTGACTGCAGAAGCCTTCTGTGGGAATTTGCTATTCTGAGATGAGAGGAATGATGTTTAGTCGCTAAAAGTTGGGTCTCTGATCTAACACACATTTATTGTGTGACTTGGACAACTAGTTTAGTTTAGTTTCTCTGCTCTTCTAAGCTTTTTCCAATAAAATATTCTTCATAGGGTTATCGTAAGTATTGAATGCTGTAGTGCACCCTAAACACCTAGACATAAATGTGAAGGATTATCATCACCCCAATCCTTGAGCAAAGGGAGAACTGGTAGTATTCGAAGTATTCAGCCATCCTGGGCATGCAAGATACCTCTAGGTTATAACTGAGATCGTATTTGAAGTGGTTCTGTGCTCAAGTGGTTTGAGAAGCACTGAGCAGCATTCTGAGGTTATAATCCCATAAGGCCTTTGCTGTGTTCCAGAAAAGTCCACCCCTGACAAATCAAAGGAAATGTATATGTTGGGGGAAGGGAGAAAGATAAGATATTCTAGCCTTGCCATGAGGACCCATCTCTGATGGCTGCTGTCATCTCTCAGTCCCTTGACGTACCTGTCTGGTCTTCCCTTCAGGTGCACTATTGACAACCGGGTCACCCGGGTGGCCTGGCTGAACCGCAGCACCATCCTCTATGCTGGGAATGACAAGTGGTGCCTGGATCCGCGCGTGGTCCTCCTGAGCAACACCCAAACGCAGTACAGCATCGAGATCCAGAACGTGGATGTGTATGACGAGGGCCCGTACACCTGCTCGGTGCAGACAGACAACCACCCAAAGACCTCTAGGGTCCACCTCATTGTGCAAGGTAGGTCGGCGGGGCTTGGCGGGGAGATCTGGCTGGCCAGCCTGGAGAGCCTTCAGGTAAGGGTTTGTTCTCTGATCCTCAACAGAGATGAGTTCTCCTTGTTCTATGCATCTAGGGTCCAGGGCACATTTCTGGTTGTCATTTTGCAGTTAGAAGCTAAATTTTCCAGTCATTTTCATTGAGTTGAACTAGGAATTGTTTTTTTTTTTTTCATTTTTGTTACAATAATATATTTTCTCAGGAAATTATCTTTTAATTATTGCTTTTCTTGACTTTTTTCTCCCCTAAGTTTTAGTGGGTTTTCTTTTTTAAATTTCATGCAATTCCAAGATTGTGTTGTGTTTAAAACCAGACTTTTAATGCACTTTTGAAGGTACAAGTATGCTATGCCCCCCTTCAGCCTTGAAAGGAAGCAGAGCCAACCAGGATGCACTAGGCACTGCCTTCAGCTGCATCCTTCACAAATACCTGCTTGTTTCCGGCTTCCTTGCACCTTCTCTCATCTCCCAGCCAGGGGTTTTAGATGCCATTTCTTCCCTGTAATACTGGTGTCTGATTCTCCCTGATTTGATTCCATCCCGACTCTCCTGGCCTTCTTCTCCTCCCCTGGCTCCTGGCTCATGAGGCCTTGTATGTGTGTGGGTGTGTGTGTGTGTGAGAGAGAGAGAGAGAGAGAGAATATGTGTGTTGGTTCTACTCTCTCAGACCCTGGGAATGGAGCTCACCTCCATTCCCAGGCAGAACCAGTCCTGGGGCATTCAGACACCACTTAACCTGGTTGAAGGATTCCTAGTTAGTGAGCAAGAGCTGGCATCACACTTGGCCACTTTCTGGCTGTGAGACATTAAGTGATTACTGTGTCTCAGGGTTCTCTTTCTGTAAAGGGGGCCAATGTGAGGATTGAATGGTACATGTACTGACATAGAAAACACTTAGAAGAGGACCTGGCACATACAGGTGCTATTTCAGCTGTTGAGTTTTCTTTTCTTTTCTTCTTTTTTAGGACTCTTGTAATTTTTATATTTTTTTAGCAACCTTTCCAGTGGGCCAGATATCTTATTTTGTGATGTCAGCAGTGTAGTCCCTGAGCAGTGGCATGCCAGATCCAGTGCTGGGGCCCTTTCCCAGGCTGATCCCAAGGCCCCTTCACAGGGACGTGCAACTCCAGGGCGACACACTCCTCTCCTAGGGGCTCCTTCCTCCAGTCCCCTTGTTGGTGTGTTCAAGAAAAGGGTAAAGAGCTATGGGATGATTGGTTAGAGACAGAATAGGAAGGAAGGCGGCTTGTGAAAGAAGAACTGAAGTAAGCTGGAAGAAGGAAGGGGAGGCCCGCTGTTTGACAGTAGGGGAAGGTGGAACTTGGGACGTGATCAGCATTGTTGAGTGAGGCAGGGTGAGCAGGACTGAGAGGAGGACACGCGAGAACCAGGCGATACTGGACCTGGCTCTGGGCAGAGCGTATACCAGGGGACGTGGGAATCCCTAACGCTGTGGCCCAAGTTTGGTCCTGCCGAGTTTTTATTATATTTTGCTTACTCTTTCTTACCCAAAGGAAATTATAATGGCTCTTTAAAAAGTGATTCTATAAATGAATACTTTTGAACTGATGCATGCAAACAGCATTTTTAAAGAAAATAGAATTGCATAGAAGGTATCAGGGTGTATTACAAAGAGTGGAGTAGGTTTTGCCATGTGAGATTTTTGTTTCAGTTTGTGTACATTTTTTAATATAAAATACATTTTTTATTGTGGATAGGGAGACCAAAAATTCTCCATTCTGTGGGGAGGGCTGGTGAACGCCCCAGTGCCACCATCTGCATACTCTACCAGGTGGTGCTTTGGAAGCCATTGCTCAGCCCTTCTCCTGTCCTGCCCCAACCCCTGCACACTTAGTGTTGAGAAAAGAATGCCTAGCATTGACAATGAGAGACTGGGAACTAGGAACTATTAGAGACATTTGCTTTAGGAAGCAGGGCCTTATGGAACTGGAAAATGGAAGGAATTGTGAAAAGTGCTAATGCCTCCTTGAAAACAGGATCATATTTTTGTCATTTTCTTTGTTCAGTCCCCCCACTGATGCACACCCCCACACCCCTGCCCTGAACACCTGCCAGAATGCCTTATACAAAGTGAACATTTAATAAATGCTTATCCAAGCAAATGGCTAGAATTAGAGCCAGACGATCTTATATGGGCTCCAAGAGAGACGGCTGGGTGTTTATGGGGGTGAGATGATGGGAGGGGTGAGAGGATGGAGTCTACATCAATCTTCACTCACGTCCAGGCTAATGGAAAATGTCTAATCCCCGGCTAGGTGTTTACATCTGTGACTTGGCTGGGTGCCCTCTTCGCATGACACACCACCTCAAGTATTGGAATCTCATCTTGGGCTAATTTTCGAATGCTGATGGGTGTATTGATCTGGAAACAAGCTGGGTTAAAAAAGGCATTGGTCTTGTACACAGACTCAGCCCAAGCTAATCCGCCGTCGATATGCCTGGACTGAGTATTATTGACACTTTAATGAATAGAGGACCATAGTTTTTTCAGAGCCGAACTGACCCCCTCTTCAAAGCAATCAGACAAACTAAATAGAGCCAGACTCTTGTGTTTCTGTATTGGAAAGAGGATGCACCCCCATCCTGGATTACAAAAAAAAATAAAAAATAAAAAGGAAAGAAATATATTTATCTTGGGATCGTTTATTATACTGAACATAAACCCTAATTCCCCCGGCAGAAGCTGACTATCTGGATTTGAAGTTGCTATTCAGCCCTGAGCGCAATGCTTCTGGAATAAAAGTTAGGCATATTAGGTTTTCAAAACGGTATTATGATCATTTAAAAAAAGAAATAAAAACAGCAACAACAAAAAGGAATGAAATTGATATTCTGCCCGTGAGTATGTGTATTTATGTATATGAAGTCAGCTTCATATCTAAATAAACCCACACAGAAGGAAGGTAACGGCATCTCACAGCATTGCACAAGCTGCTTCAGGTCTGCGGTATGTCTTTCCCCTTACTGTCAAATATCCCATCTACCCGCTAGTTCTCTGTACTGGATTTTCTTCCCCTGTGGTCCTGATCCGATATGGTTAGTTCTCGCAGACAGTCATGCCAAGGCGGCTACATAGGGCAAGTCTCTGGGGCAAGCTAGGAGCGAAGCCCATCCTTGGGGAGGAGGGTGACCCTGGAACCAGTGTGGGAGGGAGATGGAGGGGAAGGCAGCAGAAACAGGGAGAAAAGAGAACTGAGCTAAGTAGCTACTTGCCAGCGTGGCTATTTAAAATTAAATTTAAATTAGCTACAACCAAATAACATTTAAAATTTACTTCTTCAGTCACACTAGCCACACTGAAGTGCTTACATAGTCAAGCAGGACCGCTGTTCCCTTGTGTTAGTTCATTTTGCATTACTATAAAGGAATGCCTGAGGCTGGTAATTCAGACACACACACACACACACACACACAAAAGAGGTTTATTTGGCTCATGATTGTGCAGCCTTTACAAGAAGCTTGGCACCAGCATTTGCATCTGGAGAGGGCCTCAGACTGCTTCTATTCGTGGCATGCGGTGAAGGGGACCCAGTATGTGCAGAGATAGCATGGTGAGAGAAAAAGCCAGAGAGAGCAGGGACGGTGCCAGGCTCCTTTTTACCCCCAGCTTTCGAGGAAGCTTATAAAGCAAGAACTCACTTGCCCCACTAACCTGCATTTATCTATTTATACTCCATCTCCATGGCCAGACATCTCCCATTAGGCGTCCACCTCCAATTTTGGAATCAACTTTCAACATGAGATCTACAGGAACAAACACCCAAACTACTGCACTCCTGCGTTGAACAGTGCAGAGAGAGAACATTTATGTGAACGTCCATTGTAAAAAGCTCTATTGGGTGGTGCTATAAAGGGTTACCATTATGGATCAGCAGGTGTTAAAACTAGAATGGCTTTCCATGGCTTGACGGGCTAGGTATATTGTAGAAAGGAGAGTGAAATTTTTGAAAGAGGATGGAAATTTTTAAAAAGATGATACTCCTTTAAAAACAAGAGAGAATTGTTGAAAAAGATGGAGTAATGGAGTTCCCAGGTTAGCTTCAATTGTTTAAAAAGGTGGAGTAATGGAGTTCCTAGGTTAGCTTAGACAGAGAAGAGTCTGGAGTCCAAGGATGTACCTGTAGGAGAACAGGCAGAGTTCAAGGGTTGGTTAAATGTGAGCATGGGGGTGATGACTCCACCAGGACACCGAGATTTCTACCTGTGAGCTCAGGGGAAATGAATACTAACATGTCTAAAGATCACATGGCAAAACTGACTCATCAGCAGAGGGGAATGAGTTCAGATACCTGGACTTCTTGACTTTGAGATGCCTTGAATACTCCCTTCAAATGTGAAATGTGAGAAATACCACCAGTGGATTTGCATGTCCAGAACGTAATCTTTTTGTTCAGAGTTGGGGAGATTCATCTAAAATTTATTAACATTTAGGTCTAATGATTTCCATCTCTTTGACCTTAGGGTTTTCTGTTTAATAAATGTAATTAATAAGTGATTCTCTCTGGAGTCTAGCTGAATATTTTATTCTTCTCACCCTCTTACTCCTGCTACCAAACCAAGCACCCTGTACATCTGAAAAAGCCATACTGCTGTCTCCATTGTTCCCTTGGACAAGGTTACCTCTTGGAAAACACAGAGTGGATAAAACACTCAGTGGGAATGAATTGTTTGCCTAATTAAGGACAGCTTGAGAAGACGTCTCAAAGGCCCCATCTGTGAATGGTGGTAGAGCAACAGTGTGCCATGGTTGTACGCAGAGTGTTAAGAAAGGTCCTCCCTATCCAAGCATGGAAAACTGACTTCTCAGTTTTGACTGGTGTACCTGCAGGACTTCACTCTCACTTAGAGACACATTTGCATGACAGAGAACAGTAGAATACAGTGCTTATAAAAACAGGGATATTAGTGTCATAAAAAATGTTTAAAAAGCTTTTAGCCTCT